AAAAAAAATAAAAAAAATAAAAAGAAAATAAGATTAATACAAACAACAAAAAATACTCTCTTTTCTCTCACCGCAATAACCCCAAAACAAACAAACTGGTAAATAAACAAATAAAAACGACAAAAAATACGAACCCGCGACAGCACCGACGAGGAGGGAGAGGACCAACCATGACGAGGGGGACATAGTAGCGCGACCACGCCTGCTGCTCCCCGCTACCTGGGGGGGAGGAGGGGAGGAGGGGGGTAAGTGGTGGTTGTGGTGGTTGATGGTGATTGGTGGTGAATGGTGGTTGATGACTGGTGATTGGTGGTTGAGGGTGATTGATGGTGATTGGTGGTTGATGGTGATTGATGGTGAATGGTGGTGATTGGTGGTTGAGGGTGAATGGAGATTGATGGTGATTGGTGGTTGATGGTGAATGGTGGTGATTGGTGGTTGAGGGTGAATGGTGATTGATGGTGATTGGTGGTTGATGGTGAATGGTGGTGATTGGTGGTTGAGGGTGAATGGTGATTGATGGTGATTGGTGGTTGATGGTGGTTGATTGGTGAATGGTGGTTAATTACTGATGGTTGGTGATTGATGGTGATTGATAGTGATTGAGGGTTGTTACTTGGTGATTGGTGGTTGGTTATTGTTGAATGCTAATTGATGATAGAAATGTGGTTAATCAGGGGATAAGTTGTAGTCGCAAATGGTGATTAGTGAGTTAGGATTAGTGATTGATGATTGGTAATGGAGGAGTGATGAATGATGACGACAGTGATGATCAGTAATGATGAAAAATGGTTAATGAGATAAACAGCAGTAGTAATGATAATGGAGACTGATGATGACAGATATATCACTAACAATGACGGCCATAAATGTACTGATGACAATGATAATAATAGCTATGATGACTATGATAACGATAACGATGGTGATGATTGGGATGTAATCCTCATACTCATGATTGTACTGATTTCACCGCAACAATAAATAAGAATAACAGTATTGTCATTAACTAAGAGGCTATAATGCTAATGCTAGTGTTAATAATGATAACAGTAATGATAACGATAATATAATTAATAATAGTATGAATAATAATCATAATAACAATCATTATAATCAAATTCATAGTAATCAAAATAATAATAATAACAACAATAACAATAATAAACTACAACAAACAGCCAACAACAACAAAAACAACAACAAATAACGATCGGCAGGTAATCAGGTAATTATCTGAAATCTACGACGGAGAAATGTACGACCCGATCTACATGCCATCTCACATAAGTCTTCTTCCCGGGCGGATATTCTGGGTCAAGATGCATGTACAGTCTTCAATCGTCTTCCCTCGTTTGGTGTTATTAATACTTAAAACAGATACGACAGATGGATGTTTTATGATGTATGTGCGTATGTAGGTATGTTGATGATGGAGTGTTATCGGTATGTTATCGGTATGTGATGTTATGTGGGGTTACTAGTCTTGTTTGAAGCGATGCGTTACAATGCCTTACATAAAAATGGATATACACATGCTTACACGTACATATGTATGTTCACATATGCACTTGTTTATATTTACGCAAGGTCTATAAAGCACGCACGCACACACACGCGCGCGCACACACACACACACACACACACACACACACACACACACACACACACACACACACACACACACACACACACACACACACAGGCCGTTGCACTAAGCATAATGTTTTCGTATGATATGTAGATTAATGATTCCTTTACTTCTGGTGGTGTTCTCATGGTAGAACCTAAATCTTTAAAGCTGCTTGTGCTGTATTTAGCTGTAGTTTTCTGTGAAAAATGGTCTTCCAAATAATAATTATATGTATTTGCCTTCTCGTAAATAAATATCGACTTCTACAACTACACCTACACCGTTTACACACACACACACACACACACACACACACACACACACACACACACACCACACACACCACACACAATTACACACACCACACACAATTACACTCACCACACACAATTACACACACTACACACAATTACACACAAACACACACACACACCACACACACACACACATTTACACACACACATACCACCCACACGCACACACCACACTTCCACCCCTCCCCCTCACACAATAACAAACCGACATAAGCCAAATAAACGGTATTTCTAATTACATTTGTGCACGAGGAACTCCAAGCGAGCCACTGGCGGAGCTGCCGACCACACCAATGAATCACCTCGAAACCAGACAGCTTGTCAGCATAATTGCACGCCGAGATACAAGACGAGTCAGCTGACCGTGTAGCACTGGAGTCCGGTATCGTTTCTTCTCCTCTCCCCCCCTCCCCTCGCCCCCCCATCCGCTCCGTCACATAAAACTATTAATTAATCTGAGCTGGCGATGTCTGTTGCTACCGCTTACCACTAACCGCTTCGGCGATTCTGCGTGCGGCATTCTCGCCTCTTTAAATCGGATACTTTTGATCACTATACATCAAGTTCACACCATGACCACGAACATCGACTTCCCCCAAAAACCATACTATCCAAAAATAGAAAGAAAGAAAGAGAATAGATATATACAATAAAAAAACAGCTTTGACTAACCTTGACCAAAAAAAAAACAGTCTGTCGATTCTATAGTCCAGAGCAACCACTGACCTCTCTCATTATACAGATAACACTGCCTCGCCCTCCCTGTGTCTTGCGCCCACCCCCTTGCCTTGGACGCAGCTCTGGCTCTCGATAAAGCACACCTGACGTCACTTTCCACACGGCAATTACGTCACAACGGAACACTCAGCGCTAAGCAACAAGGGAAGTGCCAAAAAAAAAGAGCGTGCCATAGCGAGTGCCCCCTTTACCCACTCTCTTAGTTCTCTTGGTTAAGGGTATCCCATGCCCTTGAGACAGCTCAGTTAGAAGAAAAGGCGTAATACCAGTGCCTTCTCTGGGAATCAACCTTTCCCCACTCTTTTCGTTCTCTTGGTTAAGGGTATCCCATGCCCTTGACACAGCTGGTATTGTTAGAAGAAAAGGCGTAATGCCAGTGCCTTCTCTGGGAGTCACACCGTCAACTGAAGGATTTCTGAAACTACCGGTGTTATAAAACTAGATATTCTACATTTCCGTGTGTATATTGTAAGCCTGTTGGTATTATAAGGCCTGATGTTCTACAGCCATTTCCTATGACATCACCATATTTGATTACCTTTGACTGCAGGATGAATTTCGCCTTACAGTAATTATGATGTTTTTTAAAATGCACTACGTTGTAAGAATGGATTGTTTCTGTGAATTAGCTGTCTAAATATCATCAGTTTAGACATGATAATAACGACATCATTATTACTACTGCTCCTACAAATACAGTACTATTACTGATAACACTAACAACAATAATATTTATTTTATCAAACTGCAAAAAAAAAATAATAATAATAATAATAAATACAAATATAGATTTTTGGGGGGTCAAACTACATAAAAATATAATGCCGTCATAAATTCTAACCCCTGTCCAAAACCGATCATTACCTCCCCTTCGCCTTCCAAATCTCCGCTCGCCGTTTCCTCGGAGGAGAAAACATCGAGGGAATTTCCGTACGGCCGGTAAAGAGGTCACGCCATGACGTCATCATCGTCCGAGTCCATACAAGCGTGTCGTGTATATCTGGGGGGGGGGGGGGGATTTCTGGTCCCTTCCTCTGACCGAGATCTATCGGGTCTCGGCCTCTCTCGTAATTACTGACAGATGCAATAAAACGAATTAACAACACCGACAACAACAATAGAAGAAAACGAACCTTTTTTTTAAATCGTTTCTTTTTAGAATATAAAAACGACGAAGACGAAAATTATTGGCGTGGGCTTCTTACAAGCTCTGGCCCTTTCCGTCCGCTAGCGTCACTAAGGCCAACTCGAGCTATGAACCGCCGTCATCTCCATATGGGCGGTGAACATACTTAACCACGCCCCTTTCCGCCCCTCCCGACAGGCCAAGGGTCAAGATAGTTGGTTCAGGGGCGAGTCCACACACACACAAATACATGCACGCACGCACCCTCTCGGCATGCGGCAGTCACATGAGCGTTTCGAAGTGCCTGTCATGTGACTCTCCTGCCGCAGGGGAGTAGAGCACATTTCGTACAGGCATCACGTCCCGCCCTGGTTTCGAATTCCGACATTATTTTAGAAGTCTTTCCTGCTCTCTTCACACTCCACACACTCCTCACGCCTTGTGCCCACGTGCCCGTCACCCGACCACGCCGAATACCGAGTCCTGAACGCAAGGAACACGTGCTCACTTTTAGCATACGCGATCTCGCTCTTCCGTGCTCGTCTCACAAAATCTGTAGCCTTTTTTTTCTACTTTTTAAAATATTTAAGCAACAGTCGTCGGAGCATCGCATTCTGGAATAATTATCTGCTCTCGAAGTTTTTTTTCCCTCGTACGCAACATTTTATTCAACACTTTATGAAAATGAGAGAACAATGGCGAATGTGTTAAGATTACGAAAACGAGGCCCAAGAACACGCGGAAATAATGTTGTTATTTACACATAGTGTAAGTATTCAGATTATAAGAAAAAAGGGAGAGAGACGATCGAAGAGAAGATGGAGGATAGGGAGAAAGAAGAATAAACGGTAGAAGAGAAGAAAAAGAAAAGGGACACCAACAAGAACGATAACAGTTATAACAATGATAATGATAACTACTACAACACCAAGAACAACGAAAATAATGATAATAATAATAATAATAACGATAGGGATGACAACAACAGCAGTACAAAACGACCGAAAGGGTATTGTGAGGAAAGACAAAACAAACAAATAAATTTTAAAAAATGTAGAACGCAATCAAACAAGTCTTGTAAATCAACTTGAGAAAACAAAACAAAACAAAACAAAGAAGTAAGGAGGGAAGAAAGACTAAGAAGACGAAGAAGAAAAGGAGGAAAAAAAGGAAAAGAAGAAAGAAAATAATAATAATAATAATAATAATATGAGGAAGAAAAATAAGAAGATAAAAGAGAAAAAAAGAAAGAAGAGAAGAAAATGAAGAAGAAAGAGGAGGAGGAGGAGTAGGAGGAGAAGAAGACGAAGAGAGAGAGAACAAGGAAATAGCAGCTGATCATAACATGCCTAAACAAAAGAGCATCTACATAAACCGCGCGCACGCCAACGCGCCGCGCTTTCTCTCT